CCGTGAACCGCCATTAAATACGTTTGCTTGCCATTCCTGTCTTGTGGTAAGGCTAATTAGCTCAATCATTACCCAAGCCAGATTCCGCACACATCCTTGAATTCCGCCATAGTTACCAACAGCCAACGGTCGTCTGCTTTTTTGGCTTTGCCGCCGCTTTAGATACTGTCCATCGTTAATCCCTATGGTGGATAATGTCACTTCGTGGTACACCACCAAAACTGATTGCCATGATCAAGAATACTATCCTTCCGCAACTGCATAGGTTTTGGTCCATAACAACCTTTCACAACCGTTTGCTATTGGGTCTGGCATTCGACAAGGCTGTGTCCTGTCGCTCACTTTATTTAACTACGGCATTGACTGGACTCTCAGGAAGGCCATACGTGAAGAGGATGGTATTGAGATTGCGCCAGATTGATATTGACTATGCCGATGATATCACCTTACCAGCTTCAAGCTTTGATGATCTACAGTCTATAGAGTCACGAGTGATAGAGGTCGGTAAATCAGTCGTTTTATCTATAGACGCCGGGAAGACCAGTGCTTTCATGCTGCATCCGTGCCTAAAAGAAGGTATCTCTCGAGGTTACTGGGTGCCAACTTGAAGTAGGCAGTTTTAAATACCTCGGGGCAAGTTTGTTGCCGAAAGGACAGAGTAAGACTACATTGGCTCCCGAATCAATGCAGCTCGTTGAATTTCCTCAAGCCCTAGAAAATGCCTATGGACCCAATGCGATACCTTCATTACCACGAAGGTCAGCGCGTATCATGCATCCTTTCGATTTATCCTTCCCTACGGTTGTTAATTCTTGACTATGCACAAGAAAGATGAAGGAAAACTGGAGGTACTTGACTACTACTACTACTTGAGGATCATCCTTCGAGTGAAGTACACTGATTTTGTCTCAAATGAGACGGTCAGTACCAGCTGCGACAACATCACAAGGATATCTCAGGCCATCTAAAAAATCTGACTGAGGTGGTTTGGACACGTTCTTCGTCGGCAACCCCAAGAATTAATGTGTTTTAGCCTTCGGTCCGAAACCGTTACCCAATTGGAGACGTCGAACAGGAGGTCGGCTCAAAACCTGGCTCGACTCAATTCCTCAGCAATGGAAATAGTTATTGGACATTCGGTATTCGGCTTCAGGCGTTGGCGAAGAGAATTGAGTGAACTGTCCAGATCCGCTGTCACGGATCATCACGCGTGGTGAGGTACCATCCGGGACATCAGCGAGGCCGGCTAGATTAGGCATTATCGTACCCATAACAAATACAAGTTCTCTAGCAGTGCGCGGCTCCGCCAGAAGAAAAGTATAAACAGAGTTCAGTTTTAAACTATATTATTTTCAGAACAATACGGTGGCAGCCTAGTCTAGTATACGAAAGACAAAGAGCCGTAACTTGGGAGTAGAAACAAACTTCAAACCTGCTATAGCCGGGACATCTGACATCATTATTTACCAAGGTACTTAGAACTTAAACGCTACTAAAAGAATAGTGGAATATCCCCTTATCAGTGTCTCCAAAATATTTGACCGTTTATCCACAAAATGGAATGAAATCAGTTTATAAGTGGCTAGTTAACATAGACAATGGCAGCTGCGAAACTCAAACAGGAAACATGTCGCAAGACCAAATTGACGTCTATTTCACATTCAATATACTGCCAACTTAGCTATGACGGACACGCACGTTAAGTGTGCCCGTAATACAGCTCGCCCTCCTCTTAAATCGGATTACAAGCCTATTTGTCGCTCTGGATGGTTGGGCCACGGGTGCTGTGAATGCTTGGCACAAATTAACTTCATGAAACAGTCTGTCGCACAGTAACCACCTATAATGCGGTCTCAAAAAAAGTTTTATTGGTCTGCTGAAACGTACGAGGCCGAGTGCACTAACATCAACAAAAAGAAAGTTATACAGGCAAATAAGGACGTACTTTCCGAATACAGGAAGGTTGTTTAAGTTCCATGGACTTTGGGCATACATCAAGGCCTGTTGCTTTTGCTCTGCTGTAGGATACATGTCTGGAGAGTTCCGGATCTGTAATTCTGTTGGAAAACCGGAACCCTGGTCACTGGAATGAATGTCTGCACCATACTCTACGACTACGTCCTCTGTGTACTCCTGAAGAATCCGCCAAAATTCCTGTTCGACTGTTGAGCATGGTACATTCTAAAAAGGAGAAGCAAAGTAAAGAAAGCGGATGATTCTTCTTCAGATAAAAATATTGGGATGGCGGGTATTAAGCAAAGCCGAAAAAGTTCTGTAATTCAATTTAAAAGTACATTCAAGTAGAGGCAGATAAAGAGGAGGACCAGAATATTTAAAATGTTAACTGGATGGTTTCGGCGCCCTACGGGTAAATATACTTGGTATCAATGGGCAAAATTCATTACAAACCGCTATTAACAAGGCGGTGGTATAATAACAAGATAAACTTATTTTTAGTTAATGCACAGCAAACGATTTTGCACGCTAGAAAACACAACGACCGAGAAACAGGAATTTTTAGGCAATCATATTTTATTAAAGATGAAAACCTTCGGGGTTACTGAACTCTGGTGTGGTGGAAAACGCGCGTAGGCTGTTCGAAAGGGAAGAAGCGAACTTCTTAGAAGCGGGCAAGTTTTGGGTCCAAACAACCATTTTTAACAATCGCAAACGTAAACCAAGTCAATTAATGCCGTCCTTTGAACATTAGATGAGGTACACATTAAGAGCAATGAATAACTTTACGTAAAATCAACTTGGTGATAAAACAGGGCCAACTTCGGAAGTCTGATAAATTCAGGGAGCAAACCGGGAAGTCAGACACCTTAAGACATAACCAGGCATTGCCTACTCTAAAACCAGCAAGGAATGTAACGATAGGAGCGCCCACAGACCATAGTGACAAATATGTCTTAAAAGTTAGGGCCTAACGAGCCCGATAGTGCATGACAGCACTTATTATAAGCTAACCGCATCTATAGAACGCTAAAACGTTCGAATAAGCAAAGCGGTCCGAAGGTGATTTCGAAAGAAATCAATTCAGATTCACGAGAAGAATGAGAACATACAGTGGGCTTCTGACGAAAGTATTGAGCCTTGAAGGAGTCCGCCTTCACGCCAAACTCCTGAAGACTATAGGCTTCGGCCGCCTGCGGAAAACCATATTGTTCCATCGGCCGGCCGCATATTTCGCGAATGCATTGAGGACACTTCCATTGCCAACGGGGAACGCCCGATAGGGGAGGTGACAAGCAATAGGTATGGTAGCAGGCCTGGCAGGAGTGAGTAGAGCAGATGAGCAAGTTGGCTTCGTTGTTGTCTAATTTGCAAATTTGACAGGCGAACGAAGCAGTCTGAACAGATAAAAGTTAGGTGGCGAAATGAAAAGCAACCTGTTGTCTTCTTGAGGTCTTAGGACTTTCAGGGGTAGTATCGTTTACAGGAACTGCAGCTTTGGGACCGGCCCCAAAAAATTTTAGGTTTTGAAGTTCTTTATTGGCATTGTAATCAATCACGGACACATCCTTAAAGTTAAAGTCAGTAGAGGAATAACAAGTACTTTTACGATAGTCCTCGCTCGCTTTGTTGGCGAAACTAGCTCGGAATCCTTCTTCTTCACGTTCTAGGAATTTATAATGCCCTTAAATAATTTACTTTTTTATCAGTCTTGGAACACATAACCAATTCAAAAGGTAGTAGTATTTTTTCATAGTTCGACTTTATTGCAGTAGCATATTTGCTGCCGTTGTATCCCAATTTTTCGGCAATGGTTGGCCATAATTTGGTGGAGGTCACTTGGTCATAGCCCCCGGCCTTTTGGACGTGCTTGAAGAGCCAAAAAACGTCCAAATATTTGCCGTTTATGCTTGGAATTCTGAGCTTACCACCACCCTAGACAGATGAGCAAGAATTTCCTAAAACTTACTTGCAGACGAACAAATTGATAGAGTTTGCTGATAAAGTCGAGTTTCAACCGTGAATGAGCCTAGAAGGCGGGAACAGTCAGTTACACGTAAATACATTACCTCGAGTTCGTAAAGACGCTGAACTCTCGGAGTAAAGCGAAACGTGTTAATATCAACAGCGAAGGGAGGATTCCACCCCTACAACAAAGTGAAAACCGTAAATGAGGGAAATGAAAGCATAATTTTCCAAATCTGTTGGACCTTCCAGTCATTTTACCTTCGGAGGAATGATCTTGCATATGCCGGTTTGGAAAGCTATCGGCTTTATTTTTGATAGATAAAGGACCGGATCTTCAAACTCCTGGGCCGTCGGGTAGAAGACAGGTGCCTCAGGTGGTGGAATGAACTTGAAGCCGCTCTCGGACATGAGGCAAATAAACCCAGTAAATTGAAAACGGAGGGCTTTTGGGTTAACAAGCCTGATTAAAACAGACTCCTTTTATCAAAATTGATGAGTTAAGACTGCAGAAATGTTTAATTATGCACCAATTACGATAAGGCTAGATGGTGGCTGTTCA